ACAGCTTCGAGGTCCATGGTGGCGGAAGAGTTCGGCAGGGGAGCAGAAGACAAGCCGAGATGAAAACAGCAAGCGAGCAGACTCTAGAGAAAGATGTGGCGGCCGAATATGGGTGAGATGTTTGAATGTAACTCTATATTTCCTTTGCGCGGTACCGGAGTGGTGGTCATTTCTGGCCAATTCAATTTTTATAGTAAGGGCCCAAATACACCATTTTTCGAGGAGAAGGTTTTCTTCTACGAGCAACAGCATGTCTTTGAATATAGCACAGGTGATAGGAGGAGTTATCTAATCCATAGTTTACTTTTCAAGATACCCGAATATCTCCATCATTGTATTGATATTGATATCCCTTTTACCGAGATATGCCCGGAGCGAGAAAACGCGATCCATAGAAGCAATCCCTGTCCTCAGAAAGGTCGCAATGACGACGCCACTGACATCACCGCATCAAACACATTCCCACCATCCGCCCTCAACAATTAAACCAGCCATCATTAAGCGATAGAGCAATGGGTCGGATGCGCTGTCAAATAGCCGGATGCGGAGAGTTCAAGCTTTGAATATTAGAGGCTAAGGTTGAAACGGGAGAGGCAACACGAAACCCTAGTCGGGACGGGGGAGCATGAAGGGTCCATGACATAGCATCTGTATGCGGCTTCCTTGGTCGAATAAAAGTCACCAGGGCGTCGTTATGTCGTAGCTATGCATACAGCATGCTTCTTTCTTAATATTAATCAGCTTCACTCTCAGGTGCCCTCATCCTCTTTCACACATTATCTCTCTGTCTTCACTCCACCCCCCTTCCCCCCAAACCCGCTCTATCTACGCTCTCACGTTCGTCGACATCGTTCCTCACTGTCACGAGCACAGCAGATCTTTGCCGGCTCCTTGTAATTCGAAGTGCAGCGGCACAACACTTATCTCTTTTTCTCGTAAATTGAGAGCAGGATACACTTGGTTGCATTAATACCCCAATCGAAAGAACCAAGGCTTCACCATTGATATTGTTATTAATACTCCGCATTTGAGCAATCATATATTTTCATCCTTCGAAACCAAATCCCCTCATATCATTCTCACCCTCTCGAAATCACTCAATCGACCGATTTCGACTCGTGTCCTTCCTACGTCGTTATTAAACATTTCCTATCCACGACACCACATCCCACATCCCATACCATGGCAATAATATGGGGACTCGACCTCAAGGAAATGCAATGGGGCAAGTTTAAAAACAGCTACATGTGGAACACCGAATACCACCGCCGGCGCACAAAGTTCATCGTCTACCAACTCGCCATGATATTCTGCGTCGTGAGTGAGAGTTTGGGAACGGCGGCACTCTCAGGTACTTTCCCCTCCCCTCCTCTCCCCTCTCCTCCCCTCTCCTGTCAATCCCCAAATCACCCCACATACTCTAGCGTACAGTGCTCGCAATACTCCCATCAACTACCTACCCCGCTCGACACAGTACTCATGCTAATGAACGAGGTGAGCAGATTACGTGGATCAACAAAAATACCTGGAACACCATCACCGCGGCGCCACTGTCCACAACAACCTCTTCATCGGCGCCGCCTCCTACAATATCTTCGTCGGCATCTACGTCGCCACCATCTTCGGCTCTGCCTTTTTCTTCGACCTTTTCTGGCCCGAGCGCCATGAGTCTCGCGTCGTCATCCGCGCCTGGCGCATCTGCTCGGTCCTCGCCTGTCTCTTTGCCCTGGCGAGCGCGCTGGCGTTGACAGTTATCGTGGCGAGATATGGTGCGTATGTTACCGGGGTGGATGCCGGGACGGCGGAGAGGTTGTTGAGGGAGTATGGTGGGAGTCCGATGCGGTATGGGGACAATGGGAGAGCGATAGCAAGTGTGGTATTTATTTGGCCGGGGTTTTTGAGTACGGTGGCGAGGTATGTCTATTTCTCTTCTCTTGCCTTCTTTCTCCGTTTGGTTCCTATTCCCATGAGTATATACGAGGAATTGTACTAATAAGTTTCAACAGCACATTCCTCCTCTGGCACTCCCTCTCCCACATCGCCGCCAATGGCCCCAAATCCAAACACGCTAAGACCCGAGACGAAGTCACAACAGCTCCTGTGGCCTCCAATGGCACTAGCCCCGTTCCTGGAACCCATATGCATCCTAGTGAAAACACTATGGATAGAGATTTGGAGGAGAGTAAGGAGGTGTCAACGGCTGTGGAACCGGCACCAGTGCTCCGGAATGAAGCAGTGGCGCCTGTGACAGCATCGGAGAATGATCATTTTGGTGCAAGAGAGGCGACGGGGTATGAGAAGGTCTAACATGGGAGAAGAAGGTCTGAGTCGTTTTGTTGTAAATGATAAGGAGAAACAAGATACCATAGGGCTGGCGTTGAGGTTCTTACCTGAGTCTGGTCATAGACTTTTTCTTCATTTTGATGCAGGGATAAGCAAGCCCTTTGCTTGTTTAGGATACCTTTTGTATTAGTGTACCACTGGCGGGAGAATGAAGGAGTAATGGGTTTGAGTTTGAGGGTGAAGATGAGTAGAATGGGAAGAAAGTATATTAGATATAATCGGTCTCGGTCTAGTATTTGGTGACTAATATCTGAGGCTTCATTGTGGTGATACTCATCATCACTACTACCACTGCTCCACCCCATCCTCTTTCCTGTTTTCCCAAATCAGATTATGTTTTCCTCATAACGGTTGTGGTTAGGGGGGGGTTTGGCGCCTTCTCTTCTAAGATGACTTCAATAGCCCTTCCTGTAAAATGTATATCAAGTAAGAAATTAATATACTAACTTCTCCTATAGAAGGGGAGCCAAAATGGTTTTGCTGGCTCTGGGTCCCTGCATCAAAATATTGACTGGGTGTTTTGGACAAGAGAAGGAGACCGCCCAGAATGCTTCTTATTAATAGAGAGGTTATTTTCTTCCATAACGGCTGCTATTGGTAAATTTTAGCTTCTTTTTCCTCTACGATAGGGTTGCTGCAAGAACCAGTTCTTGAGTAGAGAATCGAGATGTAGACCCTCCCATAATGACAGAGCCGGAATTTTTTTCCCTCCAATGCCATGGTATTCGCAGGAATCTTAACTCTTGTTTGGGCGGAGATTTTGAACTTCTCCTTCTGCGCAAAGATTCTAAACTCCCCTTTATTTTTTTAAGGTAGATATATGGAATAATAGGTATGGTGAAGAAGATCGCAGAGCACGACAATTTCCAATTTTCAGATTGGGGTAGACAATTCTCCAATCCAACAATTGCCTGTGGGGGTTTTAACCGCTTACTCTCCGCATCAGAGCATGCGTTAGAGATGTCAGAATATAATAAGGAGACGTTTTTTAATTTACTTATTATAGGGGAGGGTTTTCTTTACTTTCATGCAGCGGTATCAATGAAAATTTCAGTTCCTTCTTCCTTTTAAGGTGATATATCGCATGATAAGTATAATAGGAAAGTTCGCAGATAAGCTCAGTGTCGAGATTCTGACTTCTCCCATTGGATGCTTGATGTATAAATTTCTAAATTCTCAGCTCTCCACATCAAAGCCAAATTTGCAACTTTCTCGGCAGCAGTCTGGTCACTGCTCCCAAACACCCTCAGTATCGCGCTGAAATCTCTCCTTATACAATAGCATGGTCTTCACAAAGATTTCAAACACCCCTTTTCCTTTCATACCAGCCATCTCGACTTTTTATCGTTGTCAACCTGCACAAATCCGATCGTTAGTTGAATGTCCAAATTCTAGGCCCTTCCCCTATCACCATAGTTTACAATCTCTTTTAGTTTTCTTATTACTATTTTCCCGCCTCTCCGAAGTTCCTGCTTATGATATCGTATTCTTTTTCCTCATGGGGTGGGTTTTGAATGTTGGCCGTCCCCGTAAAAGCTCTCTAGCTAGAGTTTCGAAATCAAAACTTAACAGTCAAAAATTCTTGGTATGGTAGCGTAGTATTTTTCTTCCCTAACGTTGGACTGAAGGGTTCTTTCGCTTTTTAAGATTTTCTAGTGCATAGTGAGAGTTCGGAGTGTGGAATAGGGTGAGGATGGTGTCGTTACTATCGATTTTCATGAGAAGTTGTGGAAGGACTTGGATGCGAGGGTTCTCCATGAAAGATCTCTAACACGAGTTTGCCACTATTGGGAACTATAATATAATGGTCGTGGTGCTTATCGCTCTCCCATGGAGGAGTAAGTTACATGCAATTTTGACTCTTCTCGAAGCTTCCTATGGCATGATCGGGAGTTTGTAAGTGCGGAACTGCTCGAACATAGTGTTACTGTTGGTCCCAATATATGAAGATGATGATGTTTTTTGACCTGTCGAGCTCTCCATGTGAAGTTGACAGTAGGATTTTTTTTTTCGAGACCGTCTACGCTCAAAATTCTAGTGATACATGTCGATTCGCTCTATCTCTAAGGCTAGGTATTTTAACTTCTCTCGAGCTTCCCACGAGTTCCTAAGATCGCAGATTTGATAAACGTTAATTAAAGGAACGGACCACAAAACTACAGGTGGGTTGTGATGTCATGTTCCCTTCTTCCACCATGGCATGGTGCACATTGTGACCAATTTCATTTCAGTGACTGTGACTAGGGCTTCTCCTAGGTGACATAAGGTCCTTAGCTGCGCCATTTCGGCTGACACTTTCTCCCTGATTGGTGTTCATTTTAATCCCACCACAGGCAACAAGCCGATCTAAATTGAATATGATGAAATTTTGAAATCTCAAAAATTGTGTTGTCCCAGGCAAATTTTGAGTTTTCATGATGGTCCATTGTGAAGTTAAAAGAGGTTGAGAGGTCATAATTTATATGAAAGGCCCTTATCGTAGAAGTAGTGGGGCACCCCTACCTCAGAAATCACGTAGACCCTTAATACCGTCCCCGCTTCTCCCAAATGCCAGGCCAAAAAACTTCTCCACCACAAATACTTCTCATAATTGAGGTCTCCAACAACGAGAAGACCAAAAACGTAATGCCTATTCCCAGAAGAATAGGAATTTATATTGGACGGGTAGGGGATCGAACCCTAGACCTCCCGCAGATTATACAATGCAAAGCGGGCGCTCTACCACTGAGCTACACGCCCTAAGTGATTTGATGGACCTTGTTAGCGACAAAGTATTTTTAAAAGTAAAACGTATCCGATGGCACCTCTTTTAGGCTAGTTGCATGAACATCTGGAACCAGACCGACTTATCAGGTGGAGCTGTGGTGTAGTATTGATACTATTTGGAATTTTCGACATCAAGGTTGCTAACTATAATTTTGTGCTGTGAATGAAGGCTTTGGTGGTTTTTGCCAACAAATACAAACTGTTTTTTGGTTGAGTTTCTATGGACGGGTTTGGGAAAACTCGGATACCTCTAGGTAGTCGAAAGGAGATGCACAGACAGTATCGAATTCAATTAAGATGGGAGTGCTTAGGTTCCGGTCTATACCAAGGGAGTATTCGCAAAAATATGATTCAATTAAGGCCTTTTAGAAGGCAGGCTTCCGAAAACATGGTGGAGGCACTAGTAGTTTTAGATTAGGATGATTCAAGGGACTGAAGAGAAAGCAGATCTGGATATTGTCTCTCCGGAAATCTGTAGTGAAAGAACGCCATGCCTTTTTATCCAGCCAGTCACCATTTCGATTCGCTGCCGAAAATGATCCAAGTCATAAGATGGTATCTTGATAAACTTACAAAGATTCCGACGCAGGCAGCATGGAGAAAACCTATAAACAGTCTGAGTCTGATGTGTGGATATTAATCAATCTTCTGGGTTAGGAGAATAAGGATCGCCGAGGTTGACTGAAGGCAAGAGTAAAGCTGGCTCTCCATATGCAGATCTGAGTTACTGGTGTTTTTTATCCCTTTATTTTCAGTATGGGGCGTGTCTCTCATAGAAAGACTGTTATGGGTGGTTTTGGTTCAATAACTCCCACTCTCACATGAACTGCTTGTTTTCATAGGTTGAGACAACAAATTCTCAACGCTATGGTAGTGAACGAGCTGCGTTTCGATATCGTAATTTCAGAATTGGGTATCTTTCCCATATCATTGTCTTGGTCTTCTTTTGAGTCTAGGAATCTCCCATTCACACGTACATGTGTTTCGAAGCTTATTTTCCAGAGCAGTTCTTTTGCCCATACACAGACATGATCTGAAGGCACCCACTATTTGAATCGAAGAATTTCCAACGCTCTTTTCCCAACCTTTACGAGTTGTAACACTAGAAGTCTTCTGCCACGTACATGTATTTCATAGGTAGTTTTTGATAGTAAAATCTCTCAAACAGCACGTCGACAAAGTATTCATGATTTTGATACTATCTTCGAAAGGTTACCATATCCCCATGTCATGGTTGAGTGGGAAGTATTTGATCCGTAAGTCTCCCGCTCACACCGTAGTGTCTAATGTCATCCATTTATTCATGATGGATTCGTAGCTCTTCTACTCACACATGAGACGGATTATCGTTAATTTGTGTACTAGAATTCGTTCACCCACACAATCTCAACCTTGCCTTTATATTTTCATCCAGAAGCGTACCGCGCACATGGTGCGACGCGTCTGTATTTTAATAGCAAGAATCTCTCAACCACACATGGGTTTGATTAGGTACATTTTGAGTTTCGACCTTGCTCTCCCCAGGATTCATCCTCTTTCCATGAGACTATACCTCCATAGTCTTGTTAATCCCAGAGATCCCTCGCACACACTATTACACGCTATGTGGTGACTTTTAAGTGCTGGAATTTTCCTGCCTTCACACTTAGCTTTTTCCAAGTAGAATTTGATCATAAGCCCCCCCACGCGCATGATATTTTATTGATAACTACTGCTTTTAGTTCTGTGGTTGCTAGATGCGGCGTTTCAATAGCGAAGTTAACAAGATTTTTTTGATTCCAAAATTCTCCCTCCCGCGCCATGATGTCCTTTATCGTAGAGTTCTAAAGGACGAGTCTCACGTCCAGACATATCCTTATTTGTCGACTGTTTTCCATCTCGTGGTTTCTTGGTTACAGTGTTTCTCATCTCTCATAGGATAACTATATATTTATTACCGGTCCCCTAGGAAGCTCAAGAAGATATTAAAAAGATGCGGATAGCATTCAGGCGAATTGGGGAGAGCTCAAGGAAACCCTAAAGGAGAAGAGAATGGAAAAGGTTGTCGCCCAATTAATACTAGAGGCAAATATACTTGAACACTCCTGAATTACAAAAGTTATTATGAAAGAGGATATAAGGAACTGGGACTCTTTCCAACTAACCTTGGCCGTGTCATAGCAACCCCTCCGTCGCCTAAGCGGCGACAGTGGCAGATATGGAATAGTTACTAGTGGGACAGCCAACGGATGGAAAATTCATCATAGCTAGGTTGGAATGGTGTAAGGTGAGAAAAAGGCAAAGGGTTTGGGCTTTGAAAGGACACTCTAGAGTCAGGTTTACTTAGCTCTAAGCACTGATATCACATATTCATAGACCCGATTGGGAGCCAGGTTCGTTACATTGAGTTATTTTTATTATTATATATTTATGCTTCGGAATGCCTTCGACGTATTACCTTGAGCAATGCGTAGTTTTTCTCAAACTTTCCCTCCCATATGTAGATTTCCACAGGTGTTCGTTTCCATTCTTCACCCGCTAAAATCTGGTCTCTCTCGGTCTTTCTCCCATCGCATTATATTTAGTAACGTTTCTGATCCTAGAAACGCCTTTTATGCTATTACTCTTTATCACGCTCTTTTTATTTCCACTTCCGCATGATACATAGGGTGTTGAGTTTTCCTATTCTAAATATTTCCTGTTCTAACGCATGGACATCCCCATATACTAATCTTAATCCAACAGTTCCTGAGATATTGATGCCGCTCGAACTCTCCCCACCGCGATAGTGTGAAATAGAATGGATGATGAAGGAATGGATAATTTCATTATTACAGGGAAAGTCCGGCTTTATGTATCTAGAATGGACTGATATCATGCTTAAGGACACATTATCGGCTGCGCCATAATGCTAGAGGGTAACTATATTCACATGACAGTGAGTCACATGCGTGGTAAAGGGAACTCTACTTATGGGCTCTCCCCAAACTCCGACAGATAGACCCTGCTCTATTGGTGATCACAAAACGCCTATCACACCATGTTACACGGCAAATGCTTTTTTAAGCTCCAAGGGTTCCCCACATATTAACTTCCCGAGAGTTGTTTTACTGCTAACTCTTCCCTCCGTACATAGTCCCAAGCCAAAGTTTTTTTTCCCTCTTCATCCCCAAAATTCTGAGTCTCTCCCATAGCATAGATGAAGCATTTATTTTGGTTCCAGAAGTCTCTCGCGCACACCATTCTATCTGGTTATCCTCTTTTTTGGTCTGGAAGTCTTCCGTTCACATATATACTATTTTATCAGAGCCTTTAAACTAGAGATCACCCACTCACACATTCTTCCAAGTCCAATATGCCTTTTACCCTATATTCTGGTCAGTTATATTGAGGCGCTTTCCATAATACTCCCAGAATCTATATTTGAGCACAGAAGTTTCTTGCGTACACTATAGTACCCCGCAAACTTTTTAATCTGCAAGCTTTCCGCTCCCACATGCATCATTGCTTCTTTAGATTTTAACTTGCAGAATTCTCTACCCTCACTTGTCCTCGATCTCGGTGCTCTTTTTAGCCCGTATAACTGTGATCAGTAATACTGCGTCGTCCCTCGCACGTGTGGATAGAAATCATGTTTAATTCTAGAAGTCTCTCTTTCACACCACAAAGCGGTTTCAATTTAATTTTCAGTCCTAAAAGTCTTTTATCCTCACATGATTAGACTCAGTGCTAGGGTTTTTCGCATCATGATCGTTAATCCAGGTATCACTCGCCCACACATGTTATGGAATGTGGGATTTTTTGGGCGTTATAGTCTTCTGGAATTTGGTGTCACTGTGCGGAGGTGCTTTTGACTATAGAAATCTCCCGCCTGCCCCCCATATAGGAATCCTCTCTTGATACTTTAAGCCAGAGATCCCCATACCATCCATGGTGGGGCAATTTGTGTTTTAACTTCGCGGGTTGTAGAACTGGAGTTCAAGGTATCTCTCTCATACCACCCCAGAAGAAGTGTTTAAATTCCAGAAAACTCCTCTCATCCACACGCACGTGCAGGGGTTTTCATATTTTTAAGTCAGAAATCTTCGCATTATTGTTGGTGAATTATTGGTGTTTTTAACTTCATTGTTTCTGAAAGTGGAAATTGACATCTCTCCTACATTACTGCTGTTTCTTAATGCTTATTTTAGGAATCCCCCGACCACTCAGATAAAGAGCGAATGTTGTTGATTTTATCTAGAAATTTCGCCCCATGGATGGTGGATAGCTCGTATTTTGATTTGCAACTTTTAGGGTATGTACGTAAACGGCGTCTCTCCTTTTGAATAATGACAAAGACATTTCTTTTATTTAGGAGTCTCCTGCCCATCCACACATAAGAGGAGGGGTTTGCGGTTTTGAGCCAGAATCTCCACACCATTGATGCTGAATGGTTTGTGTTTTGACCATACGGTCTCTGTAGTTGGAAGCCGGCGCCTCTCCTACACTATCTCTGTCCTATCGGTTTCAGTTCTAGGAACCTTCCGCTCATCCACACATGAGAAACCGGATACCGTTGGTTTTAGCCAGAAGGTATCCAATAACCTAGTGTCTTCCCTCTGCAATTTCTGGAATTAGAAGTCGGCGCCTCTCTCCTATCGTTCCTGTTTTATAGACTTTGGATTCAGGAGTCCCCTGATCTCACACACATGTAGAGTGGGCCTTAACAATTTTGAACCAGAAATCCCCCCACCATTGATGCTGAAGGGCTTGTGTTTTGACCATGGGGTCCCTGAGTTGAAATTTGGAACCTCTCAGACTCTATCCTATACTGCCACTATTGTATCTTTTCAAGTTCCAGAAGTCTCTCGCTCACCTACACATAGTAATTAGATATTACTAATTGTAATCCAAAAGTCTCGCAAACCATGAAAGGGGTGAATTTTCGTTTTCAACCATGCGGTGACCAAGGCTGGGAATTGACGTCTCTTCCATAGATTCTCTAGTTTTGTTTC